ACAAGATCGAGGCATGTATTTGGAATTTCTCGTAAGTTCGTCTTTTTTTTTAAGCAGCATATTTGTTTACGTATTTAAATTGAAGATTGTCATATATTTATCTGCATTGAGAATGCAAGTAGTTTGTGCACGCGAAAAATCTGCATTATCGATAAGTAGTTTTTAAAAAAGTTTTCCTTGAATTATAAGATTGCGAGCTTCAAGTTCATTTTTAATTTCATTACGCAAGCTTTTAGCATAAGTTTCGAAGTAAATCGATCACCATCCTAACGTCAAGGCAATATTTTAAATCCCCATTACTTAATTACCTTTATTGTTTTAAAATTCATCCTAAGAAAACTAATAAGCAAAGATGCGGAGAATGATATTCGTAAGGGCGTCTTTAGTTATATAAAAAAGTATTTAAAGTGAGTCAAGGTTGCACACGGATACGCATATATAATAGTGAGATTCATTTTGTTCGGAACATTTGGAAATCGGTGGTCGCTTACGGGCAATGAGGAAAATAGATGTATTGCGTGGATGAGAGTAAAAGAATGAGATATATAGATATATATATATATATATATATATATATATATATATATATAGAGAGAGAGAGAGAGAGAGAGAGAGAGAGAGAGGAAAGGTCGCGATAGGACGTACGAGGGGTACAGTGGGTGAGGGGAAATGTAAAGGCGCCCGAGTGTCGCGACAACCCAAGACTCGGGTAACAACGACCTCGCAGGCTCCTTCCTTCCTTTTCGCGTTCGCGCGTACGGTAAACTTGCAATATCTGACTCAGGCGCCACGGAAACATACCCAAGTGGAAGATTTGTCGCCCGTTAGAATTGTACAATTGTAATTCGTATGCATTCAACGTCTTTTTCTCATACTGGTCACAAGAAATAATGAATAAGAGAGAGGGAGAGAGGGGGAGAGAGAGAGAGAGAGAGAGAGAAGATAGATGGCAGGAGAGTGAACTAATTTAGAGTGCCATTTAGAATAAGTTAAATTTATCGTCAAATACGTGCTCACGAACTAAATTCCACATATTTATAAATTGTCGCTGCATTATGTCATGAGCTTCTAGCGTTATATATCTCATCATCCATCTCTCTCCGATAAAACGGCAGCCGTCGCCGTGCTCTGTTGTTACGCTATCACAACCGAGGTCTTTTTAATTCTTCCGCGATTTTATAAGTACCGGAGGTGAGAGCAGTGGTGGGAGCGAAACGGACAGTGTACGAAAAAGAAAAGAAACACAGAGTTAAATACTAGGGTGCTTCACCACTTCGGGTTCTCTCACTCTTGCCCGTCGGAATCATCAACGGGCCAAATATAGCAAAGAAGTGATCCTCATATACGTGTGCGTGCGTGAATCTGTGTATACCTGTCACGGAACGGTATGCAGGTGTGTGTGTGTGTGCGTGCGTGCGTGCGTGCGTGCGTGCTCGTTCACGTGTGTAGGGGGAGGGAAGGGGGAGAGCAGGACCATCCACGGAGTGAGAAATTGTCGAAAGCGAGAAGCCGTTCTCCATCGATTGCGGCCTTGCCAACTTGATTGCACTCGTTTTCCTCGGCGGCGACTCGCGGACTCGTCTCCCCTTAGCCTTGTTTTTTCTTTCTTTTTTTTTTATTTAACGTCGGTACGCGCGCTCTCGAGGCCTGGGAGTCTAGAAAAAGGGGTTAGGG